TATTATAATCAAATAAACTATAGCCACAATCATCCACCATGCATATCATACATCCACACAAGCAATAGAGATATACATACACCGGGTGAACCGCGCTCACCCCAGACAGTTCTAGAAAAATACTACGGCAGTAAATATTTTCTAAAACTCATAAAATTAAATTAGATGTCCAAATAAATCTAATAAAATTTTATAAAATCATTTTATATAATCTGGATATTTGGCCAGCATAAAAAAAAATATCCAGAATATTCCAAATGACCAAAATGCCCTTTTTGCAAAATTATATTCAAAAAGGCCATTAAAATTTTGAAACAATTTTGCAAAAATCATGAAAATTAAATTTCAACTTCCCGTAATTATTTTCAACATTTATAAACCTGGAAAGAAAATTTCCAAAATTTATAAATCATTATATCCAAAATATATTAGTTAAATCTCAATAAGTTATAAAAAGCCATTTAAATTGATTTCGAAAATATTAAATTACAAAAATTTAATATTTTGGAAAACAATCTTTTTCTTACTGAGATATAACTTTCCAAAATATATATTAGTCATTTATGTAATTAAAATACAAATATATAAATATATATAATATTTCGGTAATAAAACCGAGTACATATATAAATATATATTTATTTAATTATTAACTAATATTATTTTGAACAATATATTTATCAACAACCTTATTCAACTTAGAAATAATATTTCCAAGTTTAATAAAGTTCATTTTGAATTTTCCATATTTATTTTCGGTTTTCACCTAAATAAATACAATAAATTCAAAATAGGAAATAATGCATTCAAAAATTACAATATCACTTTATCAATCATAAAATGATGTTTTATGTCCAAATAAAATTATATTTACTATTTTTACAATATATATAAATATATATTTCGAAAAATCAAAAATATATATTTATATATATATTACGTGTAGAAATAAAACAAATAAATTTAAAATTCATTTTCAATGATTTATTTAACTCCAATACTTATTCCAAGACTAAATAAAATCATTTTACCAATTTTTGAATTTTAATAATTACCAAGTTAAAACTTTGACTTTTAAAATTTTAAAAGTCAAACGTAAAACTATAGTTTTGTACGTTGGCTCCGATACCACTGAAAGGTAACCATGCAAGGATAGGCAGTGGAATAAAAAATTTTAACATCCTAACATGATTATCTTGCCCAGAATCACGTACTAAAACTTATAGTGAGTAAGAAATTTATACCTTTCTCCGTAAGCGGTAAAAACGAAGAGGTCGTAGGAAGAGCGTTGAAATTGCAAACGTAACCGTTCAAGCGTCCGGTCTCCAACTTTGACACACGAACAACGCCGGAGTCTACCACAATCTTTATGCTAGTAAAGATTATAGTAGTAAAAAATATAAAGATTAAAATTGGGATAATAATAATCTTGTATATTTTTATAGAAAATATTTCTAATAATACTTAGAAAATATTATAGATATTTTCTATACACAAAATGATATTATTGGAACCCCAAATAATCACTTTCTCTCTCTAGAAAATGAAGTGGCCGAAAAATTTCACTTGCATAAATCAAGATGATGATCTTCACATCTATATAAAATATTTTGTTCAAAGTGCCGTGTAATCAATTAAGTAGAAAACAAAACATTACAAAGTTATTAATCAAACTTTGTCATTTAGCTAAAGGATAAAAAATAATAAAACTATGTCAAAGATTGATTTTTGATCCTTTAAATCACTATGGCCGAATGTTTGATTGTGAGAAGGATTTTCAAAATTCTTCTCCACTCAAATGTTCAAAGTGTATTTTATTTGACACCAAAAATTAATATAAAATTAATTTTAAATCAATTAAAAATACCCATATCATTTTTTTAAACAAGTATACAAATATACTTTAAATAGTTTATGTCAAAATAATTATTTTCATAATTAAAATGACAAACCAAAATAAAATATTCAACATATAATATATATATATATATATATATATATATATATATATATATATATATATATATATATATATATATATATATATATATATATATATATATTATATGTTG